ACTGACGCTTGCAGGTCGGTGGAGGAAAGTCCCGAATGGCCTCAACCTTGGAAGAGAGGGGACGCAAACCTTGTGCATCGACATGGTGACCAAGAAAATCAAGGGACGGCACACCCAGAAGACACTTCGAAGGGTTAATGACCACGCCAAACTGATCGAGGCGGTCAAACACTAAGGCAAGATGCTCTTTGTGTTCCTCGGCATTTCGACCGGCCACCAAGAGGTCATCGATGTAGGCGTGCACAAACGGGAGACCACGTAGAACTCGGTCAATGAACCTCTGAAATGTTTGGGCAGCATTGCGAAGACCAAATGGCATGCGAATAAATTCGAACAGGCCGAATAGTGTGGTGACGGCAGTTTTAGGAACATCCTCAGGAGCGACAGGAATCTGATGGAAGGCCCGAACAAGGTCAATCTTCGAGAAAACCGATTTGCCGAAAAGAGCTCCAGCAAAATCTTGAAGATGAGGGACGGGATAACGATCCGGGATGGTCGCATTGTTGAGGGCGCGATAGTCACCACAGGTCCGCCAGTCGTCTGATGTCGCCTTGGGCACCATATGCAGAGGGGACGCCCATGGACTCTCGGACGGGCGAATTATGCCCAGTTGCAGCATGTGCTCAAATTTGGCCTTCGCCGCTTGCAGACGGGACGGAGCCAGTCGTCTAGGCCGTGCGAATACTGGGGGGCCGGAGGTACGAATGTGGTGGACAACGTCATGCTGGATCTCACCACTGCGAAACTGGGGTTTGATTATGTTGGGGTGTTGGAGGAGCAGGTCTCGGTATGGGCAAGCAATACCTGTGTCCAGAACAGATAAATTGCAGGAGTATTTAAAGGGTGTAAGACCGCGGACAGAAAGACCAGTTGTGCGGTCGAGGAGACAGGAACGCCGACAGTCAACAAGGAGACCAAACTCGGCTAGGAAGTCGGAACCAAGGATCACATGAGGCACATCGGCAATCACAAATATCTAGGAGAATGATCGACGTAAACCAATTTTTAGCGTTAGGGAACGACTACCAAAAGTGGAAATGGGGGAACAGTTTGCAGCTTGGAGATGTAGACCAGGGCTGGGACAGCGGCGGTCAACTGGAGTGGGAGGAACCACGCTGATCTGGGCTCCAGTGTCCACCAGGAAACGCCTGCAAGTCATATTGTCGCAGACATAAAAGGTGCGACCAGAGCTGGGAGAGCCAGAGAGAACGGTCGCGTCTATTCTCTGGCTGGCTTGTTTCCTTGTTTCGGTTTAAATGAACAAGGGGAAGAGCATTTGCGAGCTTTGACGGCAAAGTTTGCGTGATACCAACACAAATTGGCTGTTCGAGGTCGCGAAGGTGAACGATAACGGCTGGGTGAGCGAGTACAGGTAATGCGAGCAATCTGTAGTTTTAGGGAGGCTATCTCATTCGCCATAGCCGACATCTGTTGCAGTAAATGCTCTTTAACCGTTGAAAAGGATGTGGAAATCTGAGCAGCGGAAGGGGGCTGGAACCGTTGAACCTCTATTATTCAGTCTGCCACTTCAGCAACATGTGAAAGTGTAAGGTCTTGCGAGCCGGATGCCAAAGTCGTTTGGACATCTGCAGGCAGCCGCTCTAGAAACATCTCTTTAACGAGTTTCTTGTCGACCTGCATGTCTCCTAAGAGAGTACGCATTCGTCGAAGAAATTCTGAGGTCTTTCGGTCGCCCAGCGATTCCTCCTTGATCAACTGGTGGTAGCGTTGTCGGTGAGATACAGCATTGAGACAAAGGATTTCCGCCTTCAGAGCAGAATAGGGAGCGTCTGCAGGGAGTTTCACTTGTGAGATAATATTAGCAGGGAGAACCTTCACAAGTTTGTGGTATTTCGACAACTCCTTCGTAATGTGGACGGAGTAAAAGGCTGACTCAATGCGGACAAAATAAAGTTCAGAGGCGTGTTGCCAGAAATCAGGAAAAGTAAAATGGACGGCATGAACAGACTCGGCAGGAACGTCAGGTTGTTGAGTTGAGGGTAATCAGTCAATCATCGACTGAAGACACTACCTATTAAGGACACACACACACACACTCCTCGCATGCATGAGGGCCCCAAAGGCAACCTTACAGACCCTTAGGGTGACACGCGGCCCTAAAGGTTGCGTAGTCAGACAGTTGTTGACTGAGAGACTACCTATAAAGCTGACAGACGTACACACACACACACGTCTTAACAGGTAAAGGCAAAATCCCCGTGACATAATAAGCAAAATATAGGTAGCACAATATCGTGAATAGGTTAGCGGGAAATGTAAATGAACTAAAATTTAGCAAATAAATACAGGACGTTAAATGTCATTAAATGTTACAGAAGGAAAGAACTTAAGTCTGCGCTAACGTCGGGAGTCATCAATGAGGTAAGTGATGTCGTTTCCGCGAACTAACGAACTACGGCTTACTAACCTCATAAACGGAGAGAGGTTAGGAAGGCCAGTAAGTGAATAAAGTTAGTATTCAAAATGTGCAACGACCTGACCAGAGAGCATGCAAGCGGCGGAGTCCTCGTCACGTTAAAACAAAAGCTACAGTAAAACAAACGTGACAAGATTGTCAAAGGTCAAGTAGTCAAAGACTTCAGCACAGAACATCCAATTGGGTATCCTTACTGGCAAATAAAAGGAAGGCTGGAATGGCCAATCATAGCTTGTTAACCGTTATCAGACAAACATACCCAACCCCGAGGTTTGCAACCCCCGGGGCTCGATCATCCGGCCTGCTGTTTAAGGTCCGATACCCTAACCATTGAACCACGGGCTCATTGTCCTGCGATTTGAGATGTTTCATACTAGCAATGGTAGATGGGCGCCCCCCTGATTGCGTTATGGGACTCCCTGGTTCCGTTGTGCTTTGCGGGTCAATATGGAGCCTCGCCGACAGCCGCTCAGCGGCCAGTATTAACAGCAGAATGGCATTACCGACAAAGACATTTTTGACTTATTAGCTGCCGTCGGCCAGTCATACCCAACCCCGAGATCCACAACCCCTGGGGCTTGATCCCCAACACCCGTGCTAGATAACAGATCGGTGGATACCCTTGTGACACAACTTCGACTGGATTCCATAGGTGGTCGTTCTGTGCGGCAACTATTGGGATGTTAAGTTCAAGCATCAAATATGACCCTTCCACAACCATAATTGGGCCGGAAGGGAGTCTTTCTGTCCTATGGTCTTTGTCCGTCATGGTTCTTGACAGTGAAATGCAGCCGATTGTGCTTTTGCAAGTCGAGGGAGCCACGGTTCACGACAGTTAAGGGGGATTATGTCCAGCCCGGGTCTGAGCTCCCTCAGCTGTGTGAGTGCGAGCTCAGTCAATTTTGGCATAAGTTACCGCACCGTAAATGTCATCGCCGAGGAGGGACAGTTCCGTTCTCGAAAATTTCCCACACGCGCCTCAGCATATTCTGGCAGGACGATCAGCGGCCAACGATTATGCTGTCCGGCGTTGCGCAACGACTGCGCGTCCCTCCCCCCTGTCCGCAAATTACTTCCTGCATTGTAGTCAATGACAAACTGTCGTCTCAGAGGCCCAGTAAAAATTTCTATCAATATTTGTCCATAAACGGCTGGCGCAGACATCACTTCTACGCGATGATTGCTCTTCTATTCGCCGCCTGCCTCCTCTCCGTGGTAACAGTTGAGGGTGAGTTGTGCACTTAATTTTCTGGAGCGAACCCCCCAACATCACCTCGCGCAGCCTTAGATTCACAGATTCGCTCACCAGTTTACGGTTATTTAACCTCATAGATGGTCTGCATGACATTATGCCAGACATGTTTATGCGTACCTGGAGGAGACGCCGCAAAGTCTCCTTAGAAACTGTTAAAGTGGTGGAGCAGCGTTCAGCCCTAACCCGCCTCACGCACGTAACGCCTTAATCCCCCCTTGTTCAAAATCCATCAGTTGCACTGGTATAAGCATTCAGAAGACTCTAAAACCGGCTGACTTTAGTCGATTTTGGAAACAAAATGTATTCGTGAGTGCTACTAACTGGACCGTCGTCATTCTATTGGCCAGCGGTGACGAGCATTCTACTGTGAACGCAACTCAGCATGTGCATTGCGTCTCGCTGCCAGTCCACACTAGTGGCACATAAGGCGGCAGCATAACTGAAGGACAGCCATCATTTAACCCTATTTGTTTTGAGGCAAAACCTGAAAGGTCTTTACTTCCTCCTCTCCATCTCATCACATTACGTCTAACATCTTCAAGCGTCTCCAGCTGAGACGCCCCAACAATGCACTTGTACTCGCCGGCCAGCCTGTTATTCCGCTCTATCTTCCACTCAGGAACTAGTGCACAAATGCTGAATGGAGATCTGAGTTTAGTCCTAACCCACCTCATGCATTCTTTCTCCTCTTCAGGATGGGTGCACCCCTGCTACATGCCTATCCTGACTGGCAGGTGCATAGCGCGGATGCCAATGTATGCCTTCAATCCTCAGTTGGGTGCCTGTGTGAAATTCGTGTATGGCGGCTGCGGTGGCAATTATAATCGCTTCGAGACCAAGGAGGAGTGTGAGGCGATCTGTGGTAGATTCCGTCCTTGAATGTAGAGCCTGCTGGAATCCGTGTACGTTTCGTGTATCGTAGCATTACATTAAATTTAACGCGTACGTCAGACTAATGTTTCCTTTTGTGGATATTTTTGGCTAATTCACGAACTTTCCTGTGTTCTTAGAGGTACCAATGCATCACTGCTGCCGGCGCACTTTCATTTAATTCTTCCGGCACTAGTGAAAATTAGCTGTTACTCGATGCATCGGTACCTTTGATCACATGCTGAAAGAGAGAGGGGGAGAGAGAGAGAGAAGAGCGATAATTATGAGAGTGCCGCACACAACGTCCAACACGGGTTGTGTTCCGCAGCTGGCAAATTACTTCCTGTGCTATAAACAATGGGAAATGGTTGTTTTTGTCACAGTAAGCACCGAGAGTACATATATATATATATATATTTAACCTTCAATAAATTCTAAATGATGTTTGCCCTTCTATTCGTCTCTTGCCTTCTCTTCGTGCTAACAGTTGAGGGTGAGTCGCATACTTCATTTTCTGGAGCGATCTTGTCGCAATGTACAACACATGCATGCGTCTCCAGTTTAATCTCAATCCCGACTACATGTACCACTTAGAACTAAGCAAACCATTGCTGTACGGAGAGGCTAATTTGAACCTTACCTTCATAGCTCAGTCATTCTATTCTTCTTCTTGTTTTCAGGACGAGTGGACCCCTGCAAAATGCCGATCATTTCTGGTGTGTGCAGAGCGAGGATCCCGATGTATGCCTACCATTATCGGCTCGGCGTATGTGAGGTATTCGTCTATCGCGGATGCGGTGGCAACATGAATCGTTTTAACACTCTGGAGGAGTGTGAGAGGACTTGTGTCAGGCGCCGTCATCGAATATAAGAACTACCGTTTACTTTCACCTTAAATAAAACGCATACGCCGAAAAAAGTGTTGTTTTCTGAGAAAAGTTTTCCGGCTTAAAAGGGCTGAAGCATTTTCGCTGATCAGATTGATTGTTATGAATAATATCATTCAGAATTCGATCAGGGATATGCTTGGCCGTTGTCAAATGTCGCTGCATTATAATACCGATTAAATGACTTGCAAAACACCACCAGTAGAAGAGAGCACTCAGAGCCTTCATTTAAATAAAAATGACCATCTGCCGCTTGGCTCGTAAACCTCTAAAATACTTCTGGTGTAAGGGTCTCAGTTCTTCAAGCCAATATATTTTTGTAAAGGAATATGCTACTGACAACATTTTGGTAGCATGTTTTAACATTGACATTGCACATGCTGCTTTCCATAGGGTCATCAAGGTTATTGCCTATTAATTTAAACACACTACCATACTAAATGGAAATACCCTTCTGTATGCAAAGCAGAAACAGCAACAGAATGCGGACATCTATAAACCACCTGATTAGGGGTTGAGGGGTGTGACAGAAAGATGAACGACAAATGTGATTGACGAATTTACGAATTTTCTTGAAAAGGATTTTGATACGAAGATAGAGGACAGAACGACGACAAGGTACAGGAAAGAAGATTCCTCGTTGAATAGAATGTTCAGGGATTAGGGAATGAGAGAGGGTCGCAGTCGAAAAGCACACTGGACTGCTTTCTGATTATTGAGTATGAGACCGTTTTCCAACGAGCATGCAGACAAGTGGTTCAAGCCATCCTTCAAAAAACTGGACATTAGTACAGTTTTTGAAAGGGTGACCAACGACTATATCGGCAGCATACCTTACATACATACAGTCATTTGGCGATCTCAATTCATAAGTATGAAAAGACAAGAAGGAACCTCGAAGGATCTCACAGTTACTGGGAAGAACACATTATTTCCGAATGAACCTCACCACACCTATATATATTCACCTACAAATTTTCTGTTCATTGGCTGTCGTTTGCGGATCTTATAGGCACTGAGGTGCTCTGGTCTGGTTCAGGTCATAATGGACACTGAAATGGCCGCAACTGTCTGAAGGCATGCAAGGGGCCAGAAATGCCGACTTCGCTCCCCCCCCCCTCTGCGCCTTTACCAGCGTCACTTATTGAGTAATGATTATTCAGCGTCAGGCCATCACTTGTGATGAATTATCTAGTCGAAGCTCCAAGCCGCGACAAAATCACCAGAAGTTCACCCTACTTCATACCGAACAAACGTGAAACATCTGGAACTATTTTGATCAATAGCCTCTCGACATTTACAGTATCATCTGTTTGTTTAAAATAAAAGTTGACAACTTCAAGCACGAATAAGGTTTTATGTTTTTCTTATGCATAAGAACAGGCTCTATTCGCCAATTCAAAAAGATACGAGTATTTCATTTTCTCCCCTCCCTCTCGTTGTTCTCCTCGGGTTTATGATATGGAGTGACCTGATCAAAATATAAAAATTGAGGCTTCATTGGGTCTTGCCGAAGGACCTGTAAAACCCGCCACACCGACGGCCGAGAAGAAAACTCTGTTCCTTAAAGTACCTTTTTAAGGGGACGCTGTGAGTGAACTCCTAAAGAGACGCCTTGATCAAGCTGTTTCGCGAACCTTTCCAGCGACAAGGGTTCAAGTACCCTTCTCTACTAACCCTATTTTACGCGGAGAAGGTAGGGATAAGTTGCCACCGCAGACCACCTCAATATGCATATATTCCTTCACTTGCTCCTGGGGAGCAGGTTATATTGGTCGTACGAGTCGGCGCTTATTCAAGAGAATACGGGAACACCTCCCGGCATGGCTGGGAAAAGGTGAAACTAGGAGCATAAGCAGCGCCATTCTCGCGCATGTTGTCGATTATTCCGGACATCATTTAGACCCCAATGAAGCGTTTCGTGTGATCTATAAGGTCCCATCGAGCTATCCTAAACCACTGGGACAGCGCCTGTTAGCAACAGCAAAGGCGGCCGCCATCAGGTTGCGAAAACCAATCTTCTGCGCGCAGAAGAACCACGATCAGGCACCTCGCCTACAGTGGTCGAAGGTCGACCAACGCTACAACTCCCCCCGCGTCCTTCTACTCTCACCACGCCCCTGACACTGACTGCTATTACCCCCCCCCCCCTCCCCCACACCCAGCCTGTGTTTTAAGGCGAGCTTTAATCGATTTATCTTATCACTGACGTGTTTTACTTCTACCCACTTCCCAGATAATTGTACTGGCCGTAAGAGAATTTATCGAAAGCTACGTATGCTCGCCACCTCGTCTTCTGATTACTGTTATAGCAATTTTCGCAACTCTAAGTAAAATTTAGACAGGACTGCCTTAAGTGAACTGATCAAAATATAAAAAGTGAGGCCTAATTGTGTCTTGCGAAAGTAAAATTTAGGCAGGACTGACTTCAGCGGACGTCTAAACTGGACACGAGATCAGAACCGTCTGAAACACGGGTGGCTTTAAGCCAACTTCCAGTTAAATCAGGGTTAAGGACAGGGTTGAAGGCTAGACTTAAAGTTGACGTCAAGGTAAAGGGAGGATCAAGTTTAGGGTTAGGGAAGGGGTTAGTGTTAATTACTGAGTGAAGGTTAAGGGAGGGGTTAGGGTCAAAATTAGGGCAACGGTTTAGTTTTATATTGGGGTTATTGTTGGAGACAGTACACGGTAATACGCAGGTCCACATAAGTCAGTCCCGCCAAAAGTTATAACAAAGACCGGCGTCATTCAGTCATCACATCCTATATCCACAATGGAAAGACCACATGTTTTCTGAATGCGACGTCGACGGCGTTGCTCAGATCGATATAGACAACGTTCTACCACAGAATGGCACAGTTTACTTTCACGTAATAGGGCTCTTCAAGATGTGGTTTTGTCACAAGTGGAAGACAACTTAGGCTGTGGTTTTACGACTCGAAATTAAGAGGATATACGACTTCCATTTCGCTTCAGAAGTTCCCTGCATCGTCTACTTATGCCACTAATAAAACCCTCAAGTTCTACCCTAAATCATTCCACGCCTTCTTTATTTGATTTTCCATTTAGAAAGTTCAACTGGGGCTATATATCTGCCCGTATAACTGTCCCCGTATATTCGCAATTGCACTAAAATAGGGTCATTTTAGGCATTTGACTGCGCCTTAACCGTACATACAATCACTGTACGGTTTGTTTGTCGAAGAAGAGAACACTCATTACCGTCAATAGTAGTGAAAATGCGATTCCCAGGTGGCATATCAAAGGAAGAAGAGGCGCTCACCGAGAGGGGTTTATTGGAAATCAGACGTTTCGAGTGGTTAATTCGTCTACCCACTTTCAGAGACTGGAAAGTCCTGCGCACAGCTCCCCTTATATGGCGCACCTTGTTTAATGCGTGACCCGCTAGGCCACGGTGACGTGCGGGTTGGGTGCTGTGCGCAGGACATTCCAGTCTCTGAAGATGGGTGGTCGAATCAACCACCTGAAACGTCGGACATTAAATAAACCGATAGAGGCGAACATGCGAGTTCCATGTAGCAATTCAGGAGACGAAGATGCGATCACTGGAACAAGAAATTTATTTGCCTGACGTTTCGGATTCTCACTCGAATCCATCATCAGAGACATTCGCAGATAGAGGTGATGGTGGCATCGGGAGTGCAGTATTTAAAGCACATGGCTGCCGTGGGACCGTATGCGCACTGCGATTAACAGCTCTCGCAATCACCGCTGGGGTCGAAATTGATGCGGTGGTGGCTTGTCGGTCCGAGTCCGAGTCGTTAATTGCTGCGATTTCGTCATCCGTGCTGGATGCTGGTGTGACGATTGCTCGGCAAGCTGGCTCACTGTCACCGTGATGATTGCTCGCCCGCGTCCTCCCCACGTGACTGATTCTCCTGCCTAGGGAAAATCGCAGTACGAAATAGGGTGTCGGGAGGTCATTGTGTTTGTTGATGGATTGCGAGCCTGAGAACCATGACTCGAGCAGCTCGCGGCTCACGCATTTGTCACTCCTTGCGAGGATTTCGGCCTCTTGAAGTTTGAAAATATGGCCGGGTCCCGTTGAGTGTGCTACCACCTGAGAGTAAGCGTCTCCCGACCTCACTGCTGCTGCGTGCTCGGCAATTCACGTACAGAGTAATCTCCCAGTCTCTCCGACATAATTGCTTTGTCCGCATATACACCAGATCCAGATTCAATAAACCCCTCCCGGTGAACGCCTCTACTCATCGCCGTACTGGCTCACTCGGAACGACACTTGAACAGAAAATGGCCGTATGCATAAAGGGACATTCGTCTTTTTCCGTAAAAATACTAATTCACATTTCCTGTGAGAATCTAGAGCTCTCCAGGCCAACATCGAACCACCTCATATAGGTGTCCGGTTCCTTAAGCGGACCAGTCTGGACCACTGATCTGTCCAGGCGATCGGGTATTGGACCTAACGCTTCCGCTGTTATTGATGACACTTTGTCAACAGCGGTATTCGTCGAAGCTTTCCATAAGAAAATAGCTGAGTTTTTTGTGATACTGTAAATTGTAGCCGTTGGGAAATCCATCGTCTCGCTCTTGCTTCCTGAATATACAGTAGATGGGCTAACTCCTGAAATGTCGACAGAAATTCCGAAATGCGTTTTCGTCTCGAAAATACTAATTAACTAGGGTCGGTGCATCAGATGGTCGAGCAATCATCACACCAACATCCAACGCACGGGATGAAATTGCAGCAATTAAAGACGCGAATGTCAGCCACCAAACACTCATCACGCCACGTGCAACGATCCCTGATGAAGGGGGAGCCGGTAACATTCAGAGGTATGCGGTAGCATGGTGACTGCATCCTATACTGCAGTCCCTTGTGTGCATGAACCACGCGTATCTGCCTTTTTGTCTCTGATGATGGGTTCGAACAGGAATCCGAAACATCAGGCAAATAAAGCACTTGTCCCAGCGATCGTGTCTCTTTCTTCAAGACGGCTTC